CTCCCCAGGAGAGAAGCTGTATTGCACTTGTCTATGTGTCTACATCAATTTAATAAAATGTTATAAATTTGTTGTAAAGTGGTTTGCAAACAGAAAGCAAACAGAAAACAAATTTGAGCAACAAAAAATTTGATATAATTTTTTTAATATTTGCTCATCAGGGATACACAAATACATTACACAGTGTAAAAAACACTTTAGACCTTCCTACTGTCTGCACACAGGGGTCTGAGGGATATTCCAAGAATGGTGACGCTATTTCCTGGAGAACTGATTGGTCAAAGGCCAGTGATTTTCTATTTTTTTGATCTCTATTCTGCGAACTTAACCTGCTCTGAAGCAGGTTAAGTTCGCATAATAAGTTACCATGGCGATTTGCTCTAGTACCTCTGTCTGCATGGGTACTCTCCAGGTACACCAGCCAAGTCCAAAGTTTCCCTGTGACAGACTGCTTGTCTGTTACTCTGTGTTAGTCTTGTGATGTGTGTGACCTGTCTCTTGCTCCCTCGTGGCCCTGAGTTGGATAAGTGGAAGAGAATGGATGCATGGAATCTTGACAGAGTAAACCTCAGTGGTCGAATGGAACTAAGAACATTTAAGTTCTGTAATTAAATACAAATTCTGTCTACGTGGAGTATCTCCATTTGATTCAGTCTAACACTTTTACTTCAGTAAATCATAAAGCAAACGTTGTGCTGTTTATCACACTACAGCAATCTGAGAACTTTAGGATTACACTTTTATGTCCAATGAAAGCCGGCATGCAGGCTTTAAATGATCTTCTTCCTCGTTTCCTCTGGAATTTGGGGGGATTTTACCTTTGTTAGCCTGAGTTCTGTGAGTCAATGCTATCGTTCTGAGAAGAATCAATTTAAATTATTGATGCCGAAACACAGTTGGTTATGAGTTATCTATATATCATTTGTGATAATGATGCATTTATGTTTTTTAACTTCCTCAGTGGTGGGAGAGTTTGGACGCATAGCGCTGGAGTTTCTAAGGAGAGGAACTAGTCCAAAGGTCTATGAGGGAGCAGCTAGTAAGACTTCATCTTTTAGTGCTTCTTTTCAAGCATATGTGACTTCTGTGGCTCATTAGTGCATAGTATTTGTTTATAAGGTTTGTTTTACTGCAGCAATCTCACACTGCCTTTTCTGAAATTCATATTAAATTGTTACATTATTTAGTATACCTTTTTAAGTTAGTACAACAATGATTCTAATATTGTTTCAAATATTTAGTCTGCCTTTTAGTCCATTTAAGGATTAAAATCTAATGTAATGAGTTTGAGTGATGAGTTTCCCTATTCTTGGTTACATGAATAGGGAAACATTGCTGGTTTGGGTCCCTTCATTAGGAAATTGAAGGACAGATCATAGAGTCTTTGAAATGGTACAAGTCTGCTCTGGTGCTGGGATAATACAGTTGTAGTTTATGTATTGTCTAACCAGTTTATTATAAGGTAATAAGAGTTGGATTTCATTACTGTGACTGCTAAATAGAACTGGACTTTGTTACAGCGTTGATACATAAAATAATTACTTGTGCACTGCCTCTTTTAAGTAAGTTTATGATTCATGCCGTTATGGTTGCAGGGAAACTCTGTGTTCCTGTAGAAATGGTACAACATGGAGTGGAAGGCCTGATGTTCCTGATGACAGAGAGCTCCAAACACATGGTGAGGAATACTTACTCCTCACACATTGGATCAGTGAACATAGATGAATGTGCTGTTTATCCCTGACTGCTGTGATTTGAATGCTCTTTTTTTCCCCATGACGTCCATGTCCCATATTTAGTGTGGCATTTTCTTGGTTTCTGCCCTGCATCATCATGAAATACTTAAACACTAGAAATATTTCACCAGCTAAGACAAAAACTGTAAACAAATGTGAGCTCTTCCAAGAGTCACAGCTGTCTCTCTCTCTCTCTCTCTGTAGATATCTGAAGTGGATTTCCTTGATTCAGTGTTGGTTTTGGGCTTTAGCGAAGAGCTTAACCAGATGCTCTTACAGGTGGATTTTAAACAGTTTTATTTAACTGACTTTATTTAAACATTGTGTACTTGATTTAAATACTGTATAGTCTAAGTTTTAGTTTTGTTTGTTGAAGTTTTGTTTAAGCGGTACATTGTTTATCTAAGCAGTGTGTCTGTCAGGATATTGAATGCATCACTTTTCTCTTTTGGTACAGCTCTACTTGCAGCACCACAGTCAGATTCGCAGCATCCTGAGTCATCTGCCGTCCAGTATGCCTGCCTACCACAACCTGGAATGGAGACTTGATGTCCAGGTGTATTGTTTAGAATAGAATAGAATAATCCTTTAATTGTCCCACAAGGGGAAATTTGGTTGTAACAGCAGCCAAAAAGACAAATATACAAACAAACAGTACACAGGACACAGAACAGAAACATACACAATTTTTCTTACATATTTACATTAAGGACAATGGTTACTATAAACAGAGAGTACTGTACAGTTATTAAATTAAATAAAAATAATTACAGGTAAGAGGCAAACCAGGTTGTAGTGCGAATTGGTTAATTAACTAACTTATTGCAGTTACAGCATTGATGTAAACATCTATGTTTGTTGGGAGCAGTTCAGATTGTACAGTCTGACAGCTGCAGGGAGGAAGGACCTGCGGAAACGCTCCTTCATGCATCGAGGATGCAGCAGTCTGTCACTGAAGGAGCTCTGCAGTTCAGCAACATCTACATGCATGGGGTTTCTAGATCATTTTATTGTTTGACCGTTGTGGTACATAAAGTGGGAAATACAGGATAGTACTTATGTGCAATTGTTGCATATCACACTCAACTCTGCAGTCTTTTTTATTTGTATGTGTGTTATTGAGGTGTTGATGTTTCCTGAACTCATGGATTAAGACACTTGACTTACCTTGAAGGATAAAATTATATTTAAGGGTATACAGTTTCCCCTGTTCCTCACACTAACATTGTCCAGTCTGGTTGTGTGTAAAAGTTATAAAAATGCATATGTTAGTTTTTAAAAACTGGGAAATATTTTTTATATAAAGAATTTTATTTGTGTATATTTTATTTAGTTAAATTAGTTTCAAGCTAAACTGAGAGAAGCTGTGTTCAGCAGATTATTGTAAACTGTAAATTATCGAGATAACCCTGCTGAATTGCTTTCCATCATCTGACCTTGTGATGTATGGTTTTATATCAGGTGATCATTATTAGGTGACACTGTAAGCTTGCAGGTGTGTAGTGATGTGCGGATCGATATCGAAATATCGATTCCTCCGATACCAGTAATTTATGTTCTAGAATCGATTCTCATATTAAAATATCGATATTTTAGTACTTTGGGGTAAATTGGTAGTTTTTCCATTAACAGTTACACAGTGGAAAGAAACTATATCATTCGGATCATCTAAATTGGAAGGAACTACTTCCTCTTACGCATTTCATAGCCATATGCCAAATACGGCTGTATAAATGTGTTGCGGCCCCTGGCGTGCGCACTCACAACAATGGCTGAGCGTAAACGGAGTGACGTGTGAACGTATTTTACTTCCACAAACAGCCAAGACACGGTTTGCGATACATGTGGCATCACAGAGAGGTGTTGTGGCATCACCGCTAACCTCGTCAAACACCACAGAGTAAATCATATCACAGAATATGATGAGCTTATGTTGAGGTGAACTGAAGAGGAGGAGAAGGACAGGTGCTGCTAGGGCGAGACAGACGTCTCTCGCGGAGTCCTTTAGTGCTGCAGGCAGGCAAGGTGTTCAATTAGTGCACAGCTTCAGGTTTTTTCATTTCTATATGATAATTCTGCATTATTCACCAATAAGAACAAGTAGTCAGATGTCCTGTAATCACTATGAAGCTCTATTATTATATTATTATTACAATTACATAATACAATTATATATTGTATTATGAAATACAATGAAACACTAAGTTTTTGTACAGAATATCGGTATCGGATCAGTATCATCGATACCACCCTGAATTTTACTTGGTATCGGATCGAAAAGGAAATCAGTGGTATCGCACATCACTGCAGGTGTGTAATGCAGAACAGAGATTTGCACTGTAATCTGAGCTACATAGACTAGTTTATATTTGTGTCAGTAAGCAGTATTACTAATATTCAGTTTTCAACTATTTTCCCTTTCTTTGTCTGACTATCTTATTGTGTTTTTTTTCTGCTTTTTCTGTCAGTTGGCCAGACGTTCAGTCCGCCAGCAGTTCATTCCTATGCTTACAATGCGTGTCCACCTAACCAGAAGTGACGGCCACAGTGACTACAACTCCAGGATTCTCCAGACAGATCCCAGCACCCTTCTGCACCTCATCTCCACACTGGAGGCCGCTCTGGCTGCCATGAAAACCAGTCATGCTCGTCGCATATTACGGAACATCAAATAATCCCTCTGTACAACGTGTGCCTTCTCTCACTTGCAGCCTTTATACCTGGGAAACATTAAGTAGTGTCTGTATTGTGCAGGGCAGAATGTCACCTTTCTTTGGACCTGGATGCTAAGGCTATATTTTTTTACTGGCAGAGGCTTTTTTATGCCAAGTTGTGATGTATGGATTGTACAGAAAGTTACTACAGTGCTGGTGATACTGAATTAAAGTGTAAGATACAGTTGAAACTTTATTTTTGTGGTTTGTGACGTCCCTGCTAAGGCATACTGGAATATTATATGGAAGACTGTCATGACGCAAATGCAAATAGACAGCTCGCGCATTCGAAGAAAACTATGTGATGTGTTAATAAATTAATTTTTTACACTGCAGGGTTGTAATGGTTTAATAAGTATATCGATGTTTTGCTAACCACGTGATGGTACATAAATCATAGATAAAAGTCGGGAAATGTCCAACGTTTTTCTCCATCAAGTCTGGCTACCCGGGCCAGAACTTCAGGCTCTGGGAGTTCTAGAGCAGGGTCTAGACCGCTACCGAACAAATGGAACGGAAAAGGAAGTGACGTATTCCAGAATCACCTGACTGTCGGCCCTTCACAGGAAGAAGGCTGGCGTATTCAACATGGCTGCGGTCTTCTGACATAGGAGTTGTCTAAAGTAATGCTATAGCCCGGCTTTCTTGATAGTACACTTGACTCCGTTCATTGTGTTAAATAGTTTTGACTCTGCTTCGACATGGCCCAGTGTGTCCAGTCTGTACAGGAGTTCGTTCAGGACTCGTTTGTCCCGATGGTGGCCGTCTTGTGCAGTGAAGAAGCTGAGAGAGTGACTCGCAAAAACAACCTAAATTTTGCGGAGCTGCTGAGGCCTTTCTGCAGACTTACGTCTGAAGGTATGAACAACTATTCAAAACACACCCTCGGTCCCGTTTTCAGCTTCGTAGCTGGTAAAAATGAGGAAAGGTTGCTTAGGAAAATAATGAGGAAAGATGTTTTGCTGCTTGCGGGGCTACGACTATCGTTAGCTCCTCGCTAGCAGACGCTTAGCAGTTTGGCTCGTGATTAAGCAGCTATGCCGATCGCCCTGCTTGTTGACATGCGAGTGCAAAGTGACCCGAGCTGGACAAATTAGCATTTGGTCTTCTAGGACAGCGTTTCAGTCAGCAACTGAACAGTTCTGTTGGTGGTGGTTTATTATACCTAGCACACAGTAAACAAGCTAACAGACTTTACTTGGAGCACGCAGCAATTGTGTTAGTTGTCATGTTCAGTACAAGCGAAGATGCAGCTAAATGTGTTTAAGCTACATATTATTAAGTTTTTTGACATACATTAACATTCTTACTCATGTATAAACGAAATCTATAGGATATATACATTTTGTTTGATTTTTACACTTGGGTAATGTAAAATCCCTAAAATTATACGATAGCAGTTTAAATTGTATAGCTGAGTAAATATTAAAAATATGCCTCATTGAGTTTTTCACAGTCAACAATCAGTTACGTGCCATTACCAGGTTTGCTGTGTCTTTCAGCACAGTCTCTCTACGGTTGAGAGATTTTGCGCTGCATTCCATTTATGCATATTTCTTATAAAGGGGACACTTCTCCATCAGTGACATTTTTATGTATATTTTCTGATACTGTTTGAGTGCCATGCTGTGACTTACTCTTTTTTTTTCTTCTAGGTCACATCCGAGATCCCAGCAATCAACTGCAGGTTGTGAAAAACCTGCGTATCTGTGTCAACAATTTAGTGACAAGTCCAACAACAACATCTACGTCCCTGAGCCCTGCTCAGCGTCAGCTACTCAGTGATGTGGTGTCATCCTGCCAGCCCCAAGAAAGTGCTGTGACTAATGTGGTTATGGCAGGAGATTATGAGCTCAATTTTAGTGGTAAGGACTAATGCTTGATTGCTTGTATTAGCTTGTATTGCTAAAATGTTAGCAATACAAAAATATATTTAATCATTATTATTATGGTAATCCACCATATTTGGCTGGATAGTCAGTTATGGACAATAAGTGATCAATTTCAAATTTTTGATATTTCTTATGAGCTTAGATGCAGTTTTGTGTGTGTAACTGTCCAGGTTATGGTAGTTGACTTCTATGATTAGAAATAACTGTACACCACAGATGTGTCTCAGAGCTCACTTCTCTTAGGTGTCGTTGATATGTTGACTTCACAGCTCCGTAATGAAAAAAGTACATCAAAGCATAACTGTACTCTATGCTTACTCTGTGCTTCAACCTACTAGATGACTGTGTTAAAGCTAGCACCCCCTGGTACAGTGTCTGGAGAGAAACACTGTTGGAAATCAAAACCTCCAAGTACAGCTCAGGTATCACTATCTGCTAGCCCATGTGTGGATCGCTATAGATCTATAAGATGTGTCACACCTGTTTTGGTCCTTACCTTCCAGTTCCCTCCAGTGTTAATTTTGACAGAACATATTTACTTAATTCTAGTCATAGTCTATTAAGTAAAATGTAATTTAGTTTTAGTTGTAATTTAGGCATCTACATTTTTGTAGTTTTAGTCTA